AATGTGAATGAACAAACTCTGTGATGTAGCCTCACACGCAATCAGATGATGAATGCTGTTGAGGATATGGAAAAGCAAAACAAAACAAAACAAAACAAAACTGGTACATTTACGAACCATTGATGGAGTTGTGAACTAGTCCAACATTGTGGAGAATAGCTTAGAACTATGCCCAAAGGGCTATAAAACTGCATACCCCTTGACCTAGCAATGCCAGTACTAGATCTCTATCCCGAAGAAATTACAGAAAAGGGTAAAAGACAAATTTGTGCAAAAATATCTATATCAACTCTTTGTGGTGGCAAAGACTTGAAAATTGAGGGGATACCCATCTATTGGGAAATGGTGGAGCAAATTGTGGTATATGATTGTAAATGAAAAATTTTGTGCTCTAAGAAATGAGGAGAGGATGGTTTCAGAAAAACCTAGAAAGACATATAAACTGTTGGAAATTGAAGTGAGCAAAATCAGGAGAACATTGTGTATATTAATAGTAATATTATAAAGATGATCAACTGTGACAGACTTTGAGATTTTGATACTCTGATCAAGACAATGATCCAAGAAAATTCCAAAGGATGTTTGATGAAAAATGTGTCCAATTCCAGATACAGAATTGCTGAACTCTGGGTATGGATTTAAGCATACTTATGTTATTTTTAATTTTTTCTTTGCATATGTGTCTTTTCTTTTGCATCATGGCTAATATGAAGATATATTTTATGTGGCTTCACATGTATAATCCATATCATATTTCTTGCCTTCTCAAGGGATTAGGGGTGAGAGAGAGAGGAAAAAAATGTGGTACTTATATTAAAAAAACATTAAAAATTTACATGTAATTGGGAAACATTTAACAAAATAAATAACTAATATTTGAAAAACAAATTTTCTCTTTAAGAGCTAGAACTTCAGAACATTTTGTTGGAGAAATATCCATTATTAAATGCTGTAAAATTAAAATCATGATAAAAATGATCAATGAAACACATAAGCAGCACAAAATTAAATGTTCAACTGAGAGAGAACTTATGAAAAAGGTAGGCCAATCAGCTCAATCTGGTTTTATCTGCTCAAGGTCAGGCATTTTGAATCAGCCTGGTGTCAGCAAAAGCATAAATATTACCATTGCTATCACAGAATGACAAGTTAAGTCCCACCTTAAACTCCTTACCCATTTTGATTTGCCTAAGTATAACCTGACAAACATCACTGAAGGTCTTAATGATATTGATCATAATACTTTAACTTTGTATATCATCATGGTATATTAAGAACTTTTTTCAAAATAGCGTTGAAAGGATTTTAACAGAAATATTATTCTATACATTTTGTAGATGAGAAAACTGAGGTCCACAGAGAATAATTTACTTATTCAAGGTGAAACAGACAATAAGTGATAAAGCTGGCGCTCTAATATATCTTAAATTGTGCTGCAGAAATTTTATAAACATCATCTCAGGAGTAGGCCATATTTCTAGTTAGAAGCAATAAAAATTAAAGTAAATGTTGCCATAATTAAGAAGAAAAGTAGAAATCCCTTTATGTGTTAAGAAATGTTTTTAAAATTAAGAAAATATATTCTCCCTGAAGGAAAAACACATCAGATATAATTGTTTCTTTCCATAAAATTAAAAAAAATAATAATGTTGGTTCTTCAGAACCAAAAGCATTTCTGAGGTTTCTAAGTATATTTTATTTTTTTGGGGGGGATAAAGCCAAGATGGCAGAGTAAAAGCAGTGACTTGTTTGAGCTCTCCCCTAAACCCCTCAAGTGGTCCAGTGGTCCAATCCTAGTCCAGTGCCTGGTGCAGGTGGCAGCTGCTTCTGGGGCTTCTGGCTCACAGAAGGTCAGGGCAAAAAGTGGCTGATCAGAGTGGCATTGCAGAAGTCTCTTTGCTGGTTCTGAGGCAGGATTCTCTTGCTTTGTCCATGCAGTCCTGGATGGTAGTCCTGTGGCAAGGAGGAGTCCTGGTGTGGCAGAGCTTGTGGCAGCAGTGGAGAGGGAATCCTCCTCATAGTTCCAAGGCAGAAAAGAGTGCATGTGGTCGCTCATAGACCAGAACACAAGCCAGGAAAGGAACAAACTCCTAGCCTTTAATTATGCCACATCGGAAGAACTGAAAATTTACAGGTCGCCTAGTAGTACCTCTGAAAACAGCTGCATAAAACCCCCAAAGCTTGGAACTGTACACCCTCCACACTGGAAGCAGAGCCCTACCTTAACAAAGAGTTTAAAAGTCAAGTAATTGGCTAAAAACATGAGCAAAAAGCATAAAGAACAAAACAAAACAAAAACAGACTATAGAATGTTACTTTGGTGACAAAGAAGATCAAAACATACAACCAGAAGAAGACAACAAAGTCAAAGCTCCTATATCCAAAGCCTCCAAGAAAAATATGAATCAGTCCCAGGCCGTAGAAGAACTCAAAAAGGATTTTAAAAAGCAAGAAATAGAAGTAGAGGGAAAATTGGAAAGAGAAATGAGAGTGATGCAAGCAAATCATGAAGGGGAAGCTAGGTGGTACAGTGTATAGAGTGCCAGCCCTGGAGTCAGGAGGACCTGAGTTCATATCCAGTCTCAGTCACATGACACTTACTAGCTGTGTGACCCCGGGCAAGTCAATTAATCTTATTGCCTAGCCAAAAAAATCATGTAAAATGAGTCAACTGCTTGCTAAAGGAGACCCTAAAAATACTGAAGAAAATAACACCTTAAAAAATAGAATAATCCAAATGGCAAAAGAGGCCCAAAAAACTAATGAAGAGAAGAATGCTTTAAAAAGCAGAATTGTCCAAATGGAAAAGAAGGACCAAAAGTTCACTGAAGAAAATAATTCCTTAAAAAAAAATGGAACAAATGGAAGCTAATGACACTTTGAGAAATCAAGAAATTATAAAACAAAACCAAAAGAATGAAAAAATAGAAGACAATGTGAAATATCTCATTGGAAAAACAACTGACCTGGGAAATAGATCCGGGAGAGAGAATTTAAAAATTATTGGACTATTTGAAAGCCATGATAAAAAAAAAAAGAAAAACCCTACACATTATCGTTCAAGAAATTATCAAAGAAAACTGCCCTGGTATTCTAGAACTAGAGGGCAAAATAGAATTGGAAAGAATACACCAATCACCTTCTGAAAGTGATCCCAAAAGGAAAATTCCTAGGAATATTATAACCAAATTCCAGAGTTCTCAGGTCAAAGAGAAAATATTGCAAGCAGCCAAAAAGAAACAATTCAAGTATCATGGAAACACAATCAGGATAACACAAGATTTAGCAGCTTCTACATTAAGGGACTGAAGGGCTTGGAATATTATATCCTGAGGTCAAAGAAGCTAGGATTAAACCAAGAATCACCTACCCAGCAAAACTGAATATAATCTTTCAGGGGATAAAATGGACATTCAGTGAAATAGAGGACTTTTAAGCATTCTTGATGAAAAGACCAGAGCTAAATAGAACATTTGACTTTCAAATACAAAACTCAAGAGAAGCATGAAAAGGTAAACAGGAAAGAGAATTCATAAAGGACTTATTAAAGTTGAACTGTTCATATTCCTACATGGAAAGATGATATTTGTAACTCATGAGACTTTTCTCAGTATTAGGGCTATCAATAGCTAGTGATAGATAGACAGACAGATAGATAGATAGATAGATAGATAGATAGATAGATAGATAGATAGATAGATAGGTAGATAGATAGATAAATAGATAGATGTAGACAGAGGGTACAGGGTGAGTTGAATATGAATGGATGACATGTAAAAAATAAAATTAAGAGGTGAGAGAATTGCACTGGGAGGAAGAGAAAGGGAGAGTTAGACTGGGGTAAATTATCTCACATAAAAGAGGCAAGAAAATGCTTTTACAGAGGAGGGGAAATGGGGGAAGGTGAGAAGAAATGAGTGAATCTTATTCTCATCAGATTTGGCTTAAGGAAAGAATAACATATGCACTCAAATGGGTATAGAAGTCTATCTTACCCTACAGAAAATGGGGGGGAAGGGAACAAAAGATCAGGGGGATGATAGAGGGGAGGGCAGATTGGGGGAGAGGGTAACTAGAAGCAAACACTTCTGAGGAGGAGGTGAGAGGGAATGAATGAATCTTACTCTCATCATAGTTGGCTTAAGGAGGGAATGACATATACACTCAACTGGGTATGGAAATCTATTTCCCTACAGGAAAATAGGGGAAAAAGATATTTGGAGGGGGATGATAGAAGGGAGGGCCAATTGGGGGACAGGGCAATCAGAAGCAAACACTTTTGAGGAGGGGCAGGGTCAAAAGAGAGAATAGAATAAATGGGAGAGTAAGATAGGATGGAGGGAATTACAGTCAGTCTTTCACAACATGACTATTATGGAAGTGTTTTGCATGACTACACATGTATAACATATATTAAATTGCTTGCCTTCTCAATGAGGTTGGGCGAGGAGGGAAGAAGGGAGAGAATTTGTAACTCAAAGTTTTAAAAAAGAATGTTAAAAATTGTTTTTACATGTAACTAGGAAATAAGATATGAAGGCAATGGGGTATAGAAATATACTATTATATTTCCTGCCCTACAGGAAAATAGAAGGGGAAAGGGGAAAGAGAAGGCAGGGGGGTGATGGAAAAGAAGGATAATTTGGGGAAGGAGTATTCAGAATCCATGCTGTCCTGGGGTCAGGGGAAGGGAGACATGGGGAGAAATTTGGTAACTCACAGTCTTGTGGAAGTGAAGGATTAAAACTAAAAATAGATAAATTAACTTAAAAAATTTAAAAAAAGAAAAAAAACTTGTATGCAAAATTTTATGCAAATAAAATGTTACATTGAGAGGGAAAGAGAGTATTTTATTTTTGTTCTTAAAGTACGTCCTAAATTCTCAAATAGTTACTTTTCATCCTTTAATCTTTAGGACTGTTCAAACTAGATGACCCTCTGTTGACAAAGCCAAAAATGTCACAGGGGCTTTGACTTTCCTTCATCATTTTCCGCCCCGAGCGGAGGTGAGGTTCAAATTACTGAGCACAGATTTTCTTTTCACTATTGAAGCATTCTGGTTCATCATCCATCCCTAAGCACCCTCAGTCTGACTTAACTAGTTGTGGAAACATGGCAACTGAAGAAAAGAAACCAGAGGCAGAAGCCACAAAAACACAATCTACACCTTCCTCATCAACCAATCAGAGCAAGCCTGCACCTGTAAAGCCAAACTACGCATTAAAGTTCACACTAGCAGGACATACTAAAGCCGTATCTTCGGTAAAATTTAGTCCAAATGGAGAATGGTTAGCAAGTTCTTCTGCAGATAAGCTCATTAAAATTTGGGGAGCATATGATGGAAAATTTGAGAAAACAATATCTGGGCACAAACTGGGAATCTCGGATGTTGCCTGGTCATCAGATTCCAATCTTCTTGTATCTGCTTCTGATGATAAAACTCTTAAGATATGGGATGTTAGCTCTGGGAAGTGTCTAAAAACACTGAAGGGTCACAGTAACTATGTCTTTTGCTGCAACTTCAATCCCCAATCCAACCTCATCGTTTCAGGATCTTTTGATGAAAGTGTAAGGATATGGGATGTGAAAACAGGGAAGTGCCTCAAGACTTTACCTGCTCATTCTGACCCAGTTTCAGCAGTTCATTTTAATCGTGATGGATCCTTGATAGTGTCAAGTAGTTATGATGGTCTCTGCCGAATCTGGGATACAGCATCAGGTCAATGTTTAAAAACACTTATTGATGATGATAATCCTCCTGTGTCTTTTGTGAAATTCTCTCCAAATGGTAAATACATTCTTGCTGCAACTCTGGACAACACTCTTAAGCTATGGGACTACAGCAAAGGGAAGTGCCTGAAGACATACACTGGTCACAAGAATGAGAAATACTGCATTTTCGCTAATTTTTCGGTCACTGGTGGAAAGTGGATTGTGTCTGGGTCAGAAGATAACCTGGTTTACATTTGGAACCTTCAGACAAAAGAGATCGTACAGAAATTACAAGGCCATACAGATGTTGTGATTTCAACAGCTTGTCACCCTACAGAAAACATCATTGCATCAGCCGCATTAGAAAATGACAAAACAATTAAACTCTGGAAGAGTGACTGTTAAGCCCTTTCGATGTCATGTTAGAGACTGTATCAAGAAGTAGGTCCTATGAGGCAAGAAACTAAGATATTTGAGAATAGTTTCTTGGCCTAAAGGGAAATCCCCTTTTTTCTTCCCTGGAATGGGTAGCCTGGTGAGAAGAGGCAGCATCTGCCTTATTTGACAAATGGATCTTTTTCTTATTTTTTTGTTTTAAGGGGAAAAAATTTGCTTGTATTACTAGAAGGTCCCAAAAGACTTTGGTGATGCTTCTTGCCAACTCTCCTGATGCTGTCAAAGGAAGAGTTTCAATCTATATTGTGTTATAAATCGAGTCAGCAAAAACCTGAATTTTTAATTTTTTATTACAGAAGGATAAATTTCATTTCATCATGAATTTTTCCTCAACTAAATGTTCTGTAATTTTTTAAAAGATATCACTTACCCACTTCTAACTCTGTGACCAAATACAACCATGTAAGTTTTTGGCTTTCTATCCCCCAGGTTCACTGACCTTGTGGCGAAATATCTTTTAATCTTCTGTATAGTTTTACCTCTTGATATGTATGTTTAATAGATATATCACAAGTTGTCTAAGAAATGGGAATTGAGTCTCCAAATGGGATCTTGAGACATTAGTACTAAGAATGCAAGAATCCAGGCAAGGTGTTACAATCAATCCATCAGTGAAATATTGGGGAGCCAAGGTCTGAGGTACACCAGCTCAACAGGACTTAGAATTTGAACATGGTAGGGCTAATGCTATGTAGGACCTGAGTTCAATTGTGAACCAAATTCCCCTCCTCCTTCCCAGAGACTATGATGGTGGTATGGAGGAGTGATTTTGCCCATTATGCATTGGGCAAAAACATTGGCACATTTGTTTTTGTTATATCATTGATATTTAAAAAAGCTAATTTTGATTTGTGTAAGCTTATTAGTATTATCAATATCGATAAAGAATATTGAATTGTATAAACTGATGGCAAGTGGTTAAATAAAACTGGAGTGCTAGTCATAGAGAAGAACATAATTGTCTGGGTCTCAAAAAGCTAGCAGAGAAAATGGCCTTTGCAACACCTCAGGGTATTGTAGAAACTTGTGGGGGTAAAATGCAACAGATATCAACCTACAGTGGGGTCAGAGCAGCTTTGATGCACTGCTTTTCTTGTCTATTTGCAAATTTACTTTTGTCCTTTTACACTAAATCCAACAACACTGGCCTACTTTCTGCTTCTTACATACAACACGATCTCTCAAATCCATGTCATTTTGGTGGATGTCCCTCATGCCTATCTTTGAGTTCTCTCCCCTCATTTCTATATCCCAATTATCCTTCTTTCCTTGAGGACTCCATTGAAGACTCAGCTCAAATATAACCATTGCTCTCATGTCATTGACATGTAGTTGACATTGTCTGAGTCAATCATTTTTGACAATTATTCACCTTTTTGTTTGATTAAAACATTCCATGTGTTATGGAATGATCTAAAAGTGAAGGTTCAAAGAAAACTCCTTGTTTCCAGTTTAATTGTAGAACAGAAGTAGACTGGATGAAATGTATTTTGCAAGCCTCATTTATAAAAGGTAATATATTACAAAGTTTATATTTAAAGGGCTATTAAATTTCTTGGATGATTAATTTAGTGTTCATTCATTGACTTACAGTAGCATTAGGCAGGCGATGTGAATAGTCACTTAACAAGCTATCTATAATTCTGATTTGCTTTACTATCAAATTCAATAAAATGCAGCATTAATTAAACACCTACTGTATGTAGAGTGCTATCTTGGGTCCTAAGGACAATTCAAATTTGAGATCATCCAAGATTCTTGCACTGATACATAGCACTGTCTAACAAGAAGATGGAGTGCACAAAGAGAACCATAACAATGAATGAAAAGCATAGCAGAGAGGTGCAAAATGCAGTGTTACATGAGATCTTTAGGGGAAAGTCTATCACTAAGAAGGTTGGTCAGAATAAATTTTGTGGGGGTAATAAAATTTAAGGTTGTCTTTGTTGGATTGGTGAGAATTCATTAGAAAGTGGAAGTGGTATGGGATATTCCAGATATAGGGAATGAATAAGAACAGCAAAGTCACAGGGTGGGTAAGTGGCTGTTCTCTGTTCTACGTCCTACTACTTCATTCCACCAAAATAAGAACTCTAAGGAGCCATGATTATTATACCCTATCAGATTCAATATGAATGGAATGTGCTTGAAATTTTTGTAGTCACTGAAATATTTCTTGGAGGAGGTGGGGAGTAAAGAATTATAAGAGGACATAGGCAGGTAGGTGGCATAGTGGATAGAAAACTGAATTTGGAATCAGAAAGACTTGAGTTCAAGTGCTGCCCAAGAGATTTAATCGCTTTGTTACACTCAGCCTAATATATCTGTATCAATTTCCTTATCTGAAAATGGGCGTAATGATAGTACTTCCAATATAAGGGCATTGTGGCTATTGAATGGATACACACACACACACACACACACACACACACACACACATACATATACATATTATATACAAAGGATATATACAAACTACAAAACAAAGCATATATATGTGTATATGTGTGTGTATGTGCAATGCAACATACACACATATTCTTTCCTTGGTATATTGAAATTGATGAATGAATTTTTAGTGTTATATTTTCTTATGCTATTAATTTAATACCCCAAGCAGCAATCCCAGAAGGAGAAATTGTATGCCAAGCTCCCTATTTATAATGTTTTCCTGAAGATACCTTCTAGTGTAGATCTTGCATCAATAGATATTACAGATGGTTTTAAGTTCACACCATTACTCTCCTGACTTAAAACTAAGGAGGGATTTTGATTCCATATGTATATGTATATATTAAGTGTGTATGTGTATATGCACACATATATGTATCTTTTTCATCTCTCTCACATACAGACTCCATAGAGATCCTATCATTAGCTCTTTTTACTTATGATATTTTGCTGAAAAATTTTAGTCATAAATGGTTGCTGAAAGGGGAAAGAAAATTCACAATGGCATCTTATACAGCCAATGTCCCTGGGTGAAGACATCAGATGAGTGCCAGAGGAGTAATCAAATATTTAAGGAAAAACCACACTGGGTCATCTTTCCAGTATTTGATCAGAAATTTGATCCACAGGCAAGGCACCATTACCAGAAATGTGAAATAGGGATGAGCCAGGACTACAGAGCCAGAAGACTTGAGCAGAAAAGGACTAAAACATTGTTGCTATAAACCGGGATAAGAGATCTTGGACTCAGATGCTAAGAACAGAAGAGGAGTACAGATGCAAGGAACAAAGGCGGGGTACAGAACTATCACTCTGACCCCAACAACAAAATACCAGCTGAGGTTCTCCAGGATCATATAGGGTCACTACAATCCTGTTAGAACTGTTCAAAGCCCAGAACTAATATAAAATCTCAATCCAATTCTGGAAGTAAGATTGGAAAAAAATGAATAAACAAATAAAGAGGGGGGAAAGAATTATTATTAGGAAGACATGAATACCTAAAACATAAACTTAGAAGAGGAGAATAAATCCAAAAAATTTCTGAGCAAAGCCTCAAAGAAAAGCACAATTTTGACACAATATTAGGTAGAATTACCAGAAAAAAAGAGTTTTTAAGAAAAAAAATATATAACTGGAAGTGCTATAGGAAAGAGCTGAAAAAAGAACAGAAAACTATGAAGGAAAAACTTAATATAATTCTTAAGAGCTTAGCACAAGGGGAAGTTAATTAGCTTATTCACCACCTGGACCAAAACTACCAAAGATTATAGAACTAGGAAAAATAATTAAAAAAAAAAAACTCATCTGGAGGAACTAGACGTCAAGAAATTTACAAGAAATAATAAGGAAAAAATAGACCGAATGCCTAATAGTGCCAAATTTCAAACTATATTATAAAGTAATTATCAAAATTAATATAGAAAGTTAAATGTAGGAAGTAGAAGCAGTGGAAAAATTTACATACAAAACACAGAAGAAAATTAGCACAGAAGAATAGTATTTGATAAACACAAAATTTTGAGCTACTGGGATATAAAAAATAGTCACATACATCAAGATAAACTCCAAATGGGTATATGACTTAGACGTATTGGAAGATATACATAAATTGGATTTGCAAGGAATAAATTCTCTTTAAAATCTATGGAGAAGAAGAAAGTCTGTTACCAAAAAAGGCCAGAGAATTACAAAGATAATTAAATGAACAATATTGATTATATTATTATTTTTCCTTAGGCAAATATACTAAAATTAGAAGGTAATCATGAAACTGAGAAAAAATTTGCATCAATTTTCAATGATAAAAGTTTCTTTTATATGATAAATAAAGAAGTGATTGAAATTTATAATAATGAGAGTCATTCCTCAATTGATAAATGGTCAAAGGATACAAATAGGCAGTCTTCAGAGGATGAAATGAAAGCTATAAATAGTCATATAAAAATTACCCCAAATCATTAGAGAAATTAGAAAAATACACATGAAAGCTATTCTAATTTTCTGCCTCACACTCATCAGATTGACAAATTTCACAAAAAAGAAATAAAATTGACAAAGTTTATAGGGGCTATGATAAATCATGTATATTAATGCATTGTTCATGTACCTATGGATTAGTGCAGCCATTCTTGAAAGGATTTGGAATTCTACATTTTTACTAACCTGGGCATACCCTCTGACCCAAAAGAGTTCACAGAAAGAAAATTAAAATCCATATGAACAAATATATTTATGACAATTCTCTTTTTGTTATGGCAAAGAACTGGTGGGACATTGGCATTTCTTGTATACTCCCTTCTTATAGTAGTAGAATATGAGAGAGGAGGGAGTCTGATTTGCCCATCCATATAAGTCTGATTCTCACAATAACTTTGTGTAGATAATTTGGAAGCCTTATTGTGAACCATCTATCATGAGTAGTATATCACAATGAATGGGGGTGCTAAGCTAAACAGTGATCTCTCTGAATAATTCACTAGCATTCTGGGGTACTTGTTCAGAGTTCAGAGCTACCATAATAGTCTCAGAGAATAGGAAGACCCCAACACCCTGCCCAAGCAATTCATGGAAAATTATTTGCTTTCTTAATGGGTTTATTCTTTTTACTGTTTTTTTCATAATTATGAAAATTGTAAATGCCATTATACAACACTTTAAGGCTTACAAAGCATTTTATATAATCCTTTGAACAACTTTATGAGATAGATAACATAAGTATTTTATCTCCATTTTACATAGGAGATAACTGAGGCCAGTTGCACAGGCACCATCACTACCATTACAACTGATTTTCATATACTTCATTAATAAAATACTTGACATACATTACTTCATTTGATTCTTCTAATAACCTTATGAAAGACATAAAGTGGGTAGTATCATGTCCTTTTATTGATGAGGCTTAAGAATAAGTGTCTTATTATATTAAACATTACAGTTATTCCTTCCCCATCATGATTTCAATACAT